TTTCTCGTGGAAATTGTATTGTACGTGAATATGATCGACTTGTTGGAGAAACGTTGTTACCAGATTTAGCTGCCAATGATAAATATGAATTTTCGGTTGGACAAGATGCAGATGTTGTTTATAAAGAGAATATTACACTTGTATCTTCACGTGCGTTCAATGAAACATTACGGTCGGGAGGTAAAGAAGTCGAAGAACGAACACAATCGAGCCATACAGTCAGTCTATTATTGAAGAATTTCAAGAAAAATCGTTCAGTGAAAGTTGAATATCGACAAGAAGTGTACGCTCGATCAGTGAAATTAACAAGTAATGGCAATGGCGGGTTTGTACAAGACGGTTCAACTATCAAAGCATTAATAATATTGCTTGCTAATGAAGAAAAAGTGTTCTCATATCAACTTGAAACTATTAATTAATTTTAAACATTTTTCAAATATCTTCTCTGTTGTGTATGTTATACCATTTTCATTTATTCATTTTTTGTGTGGAGTAGATCCAGCTGCGTAATTGTATGTAATTTACACCCTCAAGATTATATTTCGTAAAATTCTTCATTACGAAAACAAGTATTGTATTAATCGAAAGGACATACCCCATCTTGGCTGGTATCATCATGATTTGTTCAGAAAATAAGTGTGAAATTCATAAGATCGATATCTTGTTTTATTTCGATACATGTTAGATTCATGGGCGAAACTCGCCTAATATTTTCGATTCCGATGAAAAATACTGCTCTTGTTTAGTGACAGTATTGATTCGGTTTGACTACGCGAACTGTGTCTTCATTATTCTGTTACCTTCAGCTAACGCTCATTCAGATGAGATTAGTGATTTGCATTTTTAATATGTAGAAAATCGACATCTTACCATATCGTACACAAAAAGGAAAATTTTCAATAAAAACGAAACTATTTATTTGTCCTACGACGAGTTGCTTTCATTGAAAATAAATGTTGTTTCATTTCATCGACATTTTGACATGTAGATAGTTTATTGAGAAATTGTCGAATACCCATTGAACCATTTATCTGATTCAAGTCGATTTCATTGCAAAGTTGAATAAATAAAGAATTCGACGTTAAATATTGCAGTTGATCGTATGTTAATTGAAATGCAGGGCTTTGATACATACTATTCGAAGTGAAAATGACTGGTTCTTTGCTTGGAAATTGTCTTAAAATGAACGACTGAACTGTTATCTATGCAATCAAAAGTTTTCAATAAAATATTTCTAAGAAAGGTAAAAAAACGAAAGTACTTGTTGAACGTGGAATAGTTCATTTATGTGCCGATATTGCATCAGTTTCCTCAGTCGATTTTGTAATGTATAACACGATCTACCAGGAAAAAATGGTTGAATTTGTGCCCAACGAGCTACAAACACAGTTGAATCATTTTCAAATTGTCAAAATCGCACTCGATTGAGTGTCATTCCTTACCATTTTGAAGCTGATGCTGTTCGATCAATACTTGATCGTCTTCCGGACGAAATTCGATTTTGTCTCGTTCTCTAGTCAGATGCACGTATCGATTGTAACATTTCGTTTGCGAACGGCCAGGTACATCACAAGCAACAAGATTCCAATTGATTGTTCTTCGATTTGATTGCTTTGATACGCTTTGTAGAAGTGCCTGTAAAACGAAACGAAAGAAGTTAGAAAACTCGATTGATTAGTTCGAGTCAATAAAGGAAAAATCATTTCCAGTCAATGAGATCTGTACTTCGTCTTCGTCTACTTGCCATTGGCCTCGTCGAACATCTGGATCAATCCGACGCCATTCTCGATGTATGGTTGAAAGGCTGCAGCCGAGTTTGTAAGCAACTTGATTGAAATGAAACAAAAAATTAGATCAGCTTTTTTCCCATTATCAGAGTTACTTTTGTTCAATGGAATATAATTGTTGTGACGATCTTCCTCGACCATTTGTTTGAATTCATTTAATTGATCATTAGAAAATTTTCTTCAAATAGATTCGCGGATGAGTTACGAAGTCAGAAAAAGGAACTTACAATTTATCTATACGACTGTTTTCTAAACTCATATAACGAGTTGCACACATCAGTGCTGAGCGTTGCGACTAGAAGAAAATCAATCAAACCTGCTTCTTGAATCGATCCAAACAACTCACAAAATTCGATGCAATTGTTGGCCATTGATCCGCATATGGTCCATGAATTTGCACTAAATCTCTTAGTAGTTGATCTTCCTCTTCCGACCAATCATGATTGTAACGAATAGTTGGTAAACACAATTGTTGCCACGCATGCCGGCAGCATTTTACAGTGTATTGATTATTCATCTAGTTGATGAAAACAATTTGAGTATGAAACTAAATGAACAAATCGATTCTTACTAATGTCTCAGCAATATACGTCCAATCAATGAAATCATTTGTACCTTCCTGTTGAATTAATTCTCTATTTGATAGAGTTCTATGAATAGAAGCATTCTTATAGAAAATTGAATTAGTTTCAGCTACTTCTTACCGTAGATCAACCAACGCCTTTTTCAAATTTTGAAGTTCTCGATCGATAACAACTATATCACGTGTCGATGTTTGTAAAATCTCAATTCTACAGTGAAAAGTCGGCGATAATTTGATTTATTCGCAGTCTTACCTTCGAGTTAATTCGTGTTCTTTGGTCTTGCGTAGATTTTCTGCAACACATTCGATTAACTTTTCTGTTGTTTCATTTGAACCTGAATTTCTCAAACATAGATCGATTGTTCATATTAAAAGTTATTGGTATACTTAGACGTGCTTTTTCTTCTCGTTGCATCATTCGACGAATATTTTGAATCGATTCATTTGTCACCTGAAAATGAACTCTCGCATATTTTCGAACAACGGATACAGAAATAGAATTTACAGGTAAATGACTGGAAATATGATCTGAATAAAACTCGAAACTTTGCAATGGAAGAGTTTCATTCGATGATTGATAGACTTTCTCCGTAGTACTCTAAAAGACAAAAATTAACATGACAGGGAGAGAGTGCATTCCTTCATCTACTAATGATTGACAATATTTTGATAACTGAAACAGTTTTCGCTGATAACAAAGGTTCAGTGCTGTGGCAAATGTAAGTAAAGATGATGGATCAGTGCGTGGAGAGTTCTCTTCTATTAATTCAATATCAGGAATGTCATCAATTTGTTCACTTGTAACTTGCTGTTCGTCGAGAATTTTGGAAATTGTTTGAGGATATGCTAAAGTTAGAATACAATATATTCATGTGAAAGATAATTTAATACTTACCAGCATTTAATGCAACTTCAATTTCCACATCTTCCACACGAATGTTAAGAGCTCGTTCGATCTTCTCAATATCACTTTTAATCACATCAGCCATCTAGAAAACAAATCAGCTTCAGGTGTATTAATATCACTCTTTTCGCAATTTCCATTAGAAAACGAACCCATTAACTACCTATCTATTACAGTCAATATCGATTGAACGAAGCCTGACAAATAGCAGTTTGATTTTTGCAGGCGATTAAACGGTTACTCAATAATATAATACGTACTTTTTTCTTTAACAATTGTTACAGATTATCTACGAAATGGATGAGATTAAAACGAGGAGAAAAAGATGTCGCTATTATGCGATATAAAAGATCTACTTTGTATAATGCATATGATCTTCGCAAGTTCAACACATATACTCGCAATTTCGGAAGAGAAACGATATTATCAGAGAAAACAAATGAAACAACAAAATTTCTTCATTGTTAGAAGAAGAATTTTCAATAGAATTTGTTGCACCATATGCTAAAGCATTACCATAACATCAAAGTTCAATCTTAAATAAGAGATGCACTTCCAGTTTTATCTCGATACGCAGATGCTTGATAAATTATTTAATTACGTATCTATATAGGAAAGCTGTTGACAAAGAACTAGCTGATATCTATACTAGATTGGAAAAAATCTTTTGCAATAAATGTCAAAGAACATAGGTCATCGCTTCGCCGATGTTTCCAAATCATAGTCCGTCGTAGAATTACATTCAAAATGTATCGATTATCCGAATAAAGTAGCGTAATCTATGATTAAGTCATTTATCCACGACTCATTGAATGATTGTAGTTTAAATATGAGTGTCATTTTCAATCGAATTTAAAACAACGATCTCTGAGTTTTTATCGTTCTCTTGCTGTGCAAAACAAAACTTTCTTCATTCTGATTCATGGTCAAATATTGATTCAGTCGAGCTCTCGACTCACGAATGCAAAGTCAGTTTTCGTTGAGTTGAAATAGAAGCAGCTCGGTGTTGATGTAATTACATCGGCGAATGAAAACCACGCAAAACACATTTGCATAGTTGCAGGATAAGAAAAAAAATACCTGTGAAATTCTATTTCTGCAAGAAACGAATTTTTCTACCCAGTGATAATGGTATAAGAGCGCAGATGAAAACAACAATGGTCACTCACTTCATCGATTGGCAAAATCTCACGGTAAGTAATGAACTGGGAAAGCGTGGATCTTGTTAGATAGTCAAGACTGATGTTATTACATTTTTCACATTGTATTCTAAACACAAATTAGTTACTAATCTTTCGAAGCTTTTTTAGAGAGTTCTCAGTCAAATTGATCATTCACACCATGGCCTATTACTCCTATCTGATTAGTTTCGCCCTTGATCCAGTTCAGAGCGGTTTTATCTGCCGTAATTTGCCGAATTATAAACAATTCAAAGGACTGAATGCATTTAACGAATACTTTGATATGTTGAAGCCGGGTACAGGTGCGAAAAGTATTCCTGATGTTTGGCCTGGATATTACAGAATTGCTTTGGTTCAATTTCAAAGTCGAGATTTACCGCAAGTACTAGAAGAGAAGGTTAAACCTTTACGTCCAAAACTTACCAGTGGCCCAATACAAGAGCCATTGTTTAAGACTTCGAAAATGGATATTTCTCCCGAATGTTTTCGATTTGGCGAAGAGTGTTTAAAGGAATCCATGGCTTTATACATGACCCATTCGTCCAAGTTAACATTTGGCACTGCTCTTGAAGAAATTCGACGCAGAATTAATCCTGAAACGTGGATCATGATACCGGAAGAGGAACTTCACATGGTCATTCATCTGTATGGTAGACGATTGACATGGCAACAAGTCGAAGAAAACCATATTCCTGCAAGCGTCATGGCGCACCCTATTGAATTTTATCAGACAAGATTGGAGATAATTCCAAGTCGGAACGCGGCCAAGTGGTCTTATGAAGAGACCGGTGATTTATGGAGACTTGGTGTTACCACACTCGGTGGATATTGCTCGGGTTGCTGGCATCGCATACGAGGAAAGGAGTGGCGTGGTGTATGTCCGGCATGTATGCGATACGAATGTGTCAAACCAGTCTGGTCTGTTTCAATTTCATCGTCGGTAATTGCACAATTTCTTATAGTTGTCGAGAATTGAGGAAATCTACCTCTGATAAGATTATAAGGAAATAATTGAGACTTCTGTAGAATTTTCAGTGATACTTTCATGGCTAAAAGAAAAGTGGGTGCTAATTTCCTCGGTTTCCAATTTACATTACCGATCTTTTCCGATCAAATAATTACTTTTCAAAATGATAAAGAAAATAGAAAGCATCTCTGTTGTTCTTATTTTCAACACCTTCGTACTACTAATCATTGTTTATTTTAGCCTGATTCATCGAAAGATTCAAACTCAAATCGAACAACAATAGAGCCTCCTTCAGATCTCAGCTCTTTGCGATTGAAGTAACAACGGCCATCCAACAATAATTTTGGTTCACCATAGCAAACTCTGAAAGAATCAACTATGGTTAACGAAAGAGATCCGCACGATTTTTCTAAAAAAAGTTTCACTTCTTTCTCGATTCTTCCATCGAAAGTTCGTTACTTGTAAAACAATACAAATTATTTTAATAAAAATTTGATGTCGTCTTGAAACGATATGTGGCAGTCTCTGATTGTACTACACGCTTCTTATCTGTTGCATTAGCATTGGGCTAATCAACAAAGTGTGGCAAAGAATGTAGGGAATTTTCTATTTTCAAATTTTTACATAGTACATATAGTATTTGAACAAAAAACAAAACAAAACAAGCGGAAACTCGTATTTCCATCACTCAATCTAATTTTATTTTTTTAGATTCGTCTTTATCATTTGTTTCATTGAAACGTCTTTTTCTTGTCGACTTCGCGGTTGTTGTACTGTCTAAGTGCTGTTGGTTGTCATCATCGTCCGATCTAGACGGAGAACTCGCTTTGTCATTTGTGCTCTCAGTCGAGAGAGTTAGTACACAGATATCTGTTGGATAAATGATCCGATCCTTTTCTCTTGTCGCCATATAATCAATAAAAGGTAGTTTACCTTTTGGGTAATCAATGAAATCTTGCAGCCAGGAACTAGCTTTCAGTTGCTCAAGGGCACTGAAATTCGTCCAAGTGCCAGGTATAGAGAAGATGAATGTCGGTCGTAACTCTGCGTGATTTTTCAACGCATCGAAAACATGATCTACACATAGTTGCATAAGTGATTCATCGAACGGAGGGCATACATAATAAGTCATATTCGAAGGTTCATCTTCCCACTTTATTTTAAAGAACGAACCACGTGACCCAAACCAACGTTCTAAATCTTCGAAGGCAGAATGGTATCGATCAAAGTAATGGTTGAAAGATGAGGCAAAACATTCGCAAGCGAACGGATCGTCCGAACTTCGTTTTGTGTCTTCTTCGTATTTTCGGGCAAGGCCGTGACCTGTCAAACGAACATAAGAGTACCGCAATCCAAGCGCATACGCAGCATTGTAGTATTTAGGGCCGTAACGTTGAGCTAGATGAGCGAAATCTTCTTGATAACGACCTCGATAGACTAATTTACCATCTGTTTCTGAAGACAAAGTGACTTGTTCGTCGTCAGGAGGGTTCTTAAAACGTAACTCTCGCACAGCACATTTGATTTCGTCATCGATTTTGTCTGCTAGTCTGTCAGAATCTTCTAATCTTGCGTTTTTTAGATCAATACTAAGTTGACGTCTAGCGAGATCAGATGTACCGACAATGAATACGGGATCCGACGTCGAAGTAGATATCGTTGCCTTTTTGTTGAATACATAACGCAAAACAATATGCGCGATCTGCATTTCTGTCAATCGTACACGAGCATTACGGTCAAACAACCATGTACTGACCGATTCGAGCAATCGTTCGTACAATTTCTTGCGATAGAGTTCAGTTTCTACAAGTCGTTTTTCCGATATGATATCTTTAGTCTTCGCTGACCGAGATGAAGAATCATTATGATTCATCGTGTATTTCGACAGAAATATGTTACACGTTATATCTGAAATCATTGAGAGTTCGCGAAATAATGAATATACACAATGACGACTACTTCGATTTGTCCCAGATCGTTAACATCCATGTTTGAAATATTCTCATCCGAAGCCTCAACTATTTAGAAAAGCAAATTGTGTCGTAAATACACTTATTTCCAAATTCCTTATGTTAGACACACACGTTATGTATTCCCATAAAGTCGACGAAATCAACACGTAGTATTCAAAATCGAAAGAAAATCATAATAACGCTTACTACGAGATTTTGTCGATTAATAATCGAATACGAAATGAAATGCAAATGGTCAGTACTTACCTGCACTTTTTTCGTATTGTGCTGGGTAAAAATCTTCTTATCAGAGATGTAGGTATTCAGGAGTATTGTTTATTTCTCTCACTTGCACCAACAGAAACGTGCACCATACGATTTTCATTCTCCGATGTAATTACATCAACACCGAACTGCTTCTATTTCAACTCAACGAAAAACGACTCTGCATTTGTGAGTCGAGAACTCGACTGAATCAATATTTGACCATGAATCATGATGAAGAAAGTTTTGTTTTGCAGAAAAAAAGAACGATAAAAACCCAGAGATTGTTGTGAGTGCCATCTAACTGAGGAAGGTAAATCTGTTTTGGAACTGTGATTAATTCAGATTAAAAGTGAGTTAAAATCATCGATAGGTTGTACGAACCACATTCTCTTCTTGAATTCTTCTTTGTTTTGGAAATCGAAGGATGGCGTTTTGTCGCTACAATGTGTTTGTTAAACATTTATTGCACAAATTAAAAAAGAAAGAGAAAAAAGGAAAGTTCTGTTATTGGACTAGATTGAACTTTTTCAAATCGGAAAAGCATTCCGTGAAAAATTTCGGATTTTGATTGATCGTCAACATTTTTGAACTTAATTGTCCCATAATTAAAACCACACGTTGCCAAAAAACAGTCCGTGTTTCATTTTCCGTAACAAATGGTTTCAATGGATAAGTTATTTCATGTCCCATGTAACTAAATGCCAAATAAAGACACGTTAGAACAATTGAATGCAATTCTGAAACACTTTTGATTGTAGTTGATGGCACAACATATGTTAATGTATCACGTACAATTAAATATACAAAGACAATATTAGCTGGATTGACAAATACTTGTTCTTGCCAGCCCTGCAGTATTAAACGACGATCAGCACTTTTTATCCACGCTATGCAATCCATTGGATCGAGTTTTGGTGATAGATGTGAACATGATGAGCATAAATATTCACTCAAACAGCGCAGTAATTCACTTGTTGATGCTTGAATGATTGTTTTTCTTGTTGTTGTTATTTCTGTTGAACGAACATGTTTTGCACTAGATGTTGTTGCTGTGGGATTAGTGTTATTCGATATGACACCGTTCGAAGATAGTTGGATGTGATAACGTTGATAGTATTGAGATTGTGATTTGGGCAAATAATATGCTGGTGGAATGAAAGTTGTGTGACGCTTATGAACTAAAATAGGAAAAAGAAAGAAAATGAATTTTTAATGGATTCACTTAGGGAGTATTAATATTCAGATTTCTCCTTCAAAGTCAATCTCTAGAGATGTACCAAAGCTAATGCTATTTTTTTTTCAATCTCCCTTTCGGTCGTCGGAATCCAGCCTAAAAATGTAGCACTATGTCACTATAGTATCAATTTGTCATAGGTCGTATAAAAAAGGTCTGAAAGGAATAACATCTCCGTTTTTTTCTGACCTGAAATAGAAGGTTTGACTACGATATGAATTGAATTAATGTGAAAATAACAAGTTATTTATCAAAACTAAACGCAATATAGAAAAGACAACTGTTGAAATATCTTCTCTATAGGGATCTGCGACAAATGTTAATTTTCTTTTCTCGGATCGACAGAAAATATAGAAGTTACTTAAATAGGAGATTCTCTTGAGAAATGCAAGTAATGCATAGATATTCAATCGCTATTTTTGAATGTTTTGACTGAAAAATGCTGATGAATATTCATAATAACCTGTTGTTAAGTCAACTCGCGACTTTTGTCTTGGCTGTATTTGAGTATTCGTTGTACTGTTCATGGGAACTTCTTCTGTTTTGTTCGTTGTTACTGATTTGATAACTGGTTCTTTATTAGTCAAATCATTCAATGGTTGTTTGATGGAGAAAAGACTAAACGATTTCTTGACATTGTTTTGTTGTTGGTCAGTTTTCGATTGCTTTCGACTTGCTGATTTTGCCGGATTTTTCTTGGTGAGATCGTGAAAATTTTGTGTGGAATAGGAATGTTGACGAAAATGGGTGTTGTCTGCAGTCGTTGCGCTCGACCGTTTGCCTTTGCCATGTGTACGACGTAAAGAGATTTTCTTAATATTAAATGTATCATTGATAATTTGCAATTGCTTTTTCCATGACGACCGATTCGGCGTTAGAGTCAAATGATTCGAAAATCCTTCATGATAGGATTTCGAATGACGAGGAGAGAGATTACCCATGAAAAATGACTAGGTCTACAAAAGAAAGCAGTCAGAACAGTATGTCTCGTTAACGATGTTTCGGCTAATTTCATATCAAACAGATAAGTAGAATGTCTGATGTTCATCCAATTCACCTACCATTGATTCTGTCTGTCGATTGTTTGCGTTTTCTTTTCTGTTAGGCTATGAACATACAGACAAATGAGATGAATTATTGAAAGATAAAGAATCTCGTTTTTCTTCGTGTTGCCTATTAATTATGAGACAAAATTAAGATTTGTCATCATGTAAACGCTGATTTTGATTGTTTTTCGCACTCGCTTACCTGTTACCAATGTTCTTATAATGAATTTCTCGTTTTTTGTGTCTCTATTATCCTTTTTAGCACGCACTGTCAAGCTGAGATGGAAGCATCTTTTAGATGTGAATGAGAGCGAATGTGTGCTGTGCTCTTCTCTTTTCTATTCATCATTCCTCCCTAAAAAAAAGTTCGGTTGAACGCTCATCGGGAGCAATAATAACGATGAATAGCGAGAAGGAGAGGAGAAGAAAAAGAAGAGAAACGAACACACACATATATACACACTTGAAGACGTCGCCTCTTATTGGCATAAAAAAGTATGTGTGTGAACTAGTTCTTTTCTTCAATGTATTGATGCCATGTTTCCATTTAACTGTCTGTGTTGCCCAGAAGTGGAATGATGAATTGAATACAACGGTGTGTACGTTGAACTCGGTCAATTTTAAACATCGTCGAGAAATGTCTTCCTTCATGTACAAGACAAGAAGAGAAGAAATGAAGAAAGAGGGAAAATGTCACCAATGCTTGAGTTCGTTTTTCTAGACAGTTGTCATCAAGGAATCGGAAATGTCTCGACGCTGATCGACCGAATGGCTTCTATGTACTAATTGAATAAGTATAAAATTAACTACTAGACGAAGAGAACTAGAATAGACTAGAGTTGTCATTTGAGTGAAAGTAACAAATTCAACAGTGATTAGAGAAGAGACGTTCATTTTTTCTGGTCTGTTTGATTGAATTAGTGAAGCATCAATAAAATTACTGGTGGACAACGGAAATGAATATAAACTCACATTGACGGGTCGTGAACATCTTTGAATTTCTTATTTTTGTTTATAAATTTGATATGAAATGTCGGAAGATAATCTCAATAATTTATTCAAGAGACAAAAAGAAATGTGACATCTTCTTGAGTTTCGAATCAGAGAAGCTTTTCTTTTTTCGAACTAACTACAAAAACAAATGTGTCTATCTTCGTTGATTATGATTGAAAGCGTTTGATAATGGCCTTCAGAAGCAACGAAGAAGGAAATATGCGTAATAAACAAGCCAATAATAATTCAATCTTGATGAAAATAACAATACCCGATGACTGTTACAAATTCAAAGCAGTTTGGTGTTAAAAATAATTCTTTCGATCGTCTGCAGATTCCCTATCGATTGTGATAAACGTATTGAACTACTTGTTTGTTGTTGTGGAACATTGAAGACTTATGATTTGTATTCATATTCCAATAATATTACCCTACGGCACTAATGCATCTGTGAAGAGGAATATATTGATGATATTATAAGAAAATAATGTCCTTAGACGAGTTTAATAAGTAATCGCGACACTGAAAATTGTGTTTTACCGTATAGTCTGCTTATATTTAAGCTTCAGACAATAATTCGATCGTGTATGAAAGAGAAACGGATTGAATTATATTCTAGATGTTAAACAAATTTTCGAATTTATTTTGTTTTGTCTAAATAACAATTCATAAAATCAATATGCAAATTTGTTTTTTCTTCTCACAGTTATTCTAAATAATTCAATTATTCCATCAAATACTTTTCCTTGATCTTTCATTTATAATCCAACTAAAAGATAAAAATAGCTTTACATTTGTAGAACAGAACCATTGCGAACATCTAGAGAATAAGCGTCCTGAGGTCCTGAAACTTAATTATCGTTGCAAAACGAGAGAGTAAATTTCTCGTAGATACAATTATGTGAAATGATGGTTTCTGTGCACTCACTGAAACCAGTTCTATGCGACGCTATTGTTAAAATACTAAGCATTATGGAAAATCTGTGCTTAATTATGCACACATATGTAAATTTTTTCTATTGAATAATTTTGTTGAGTCGAGTATTTTTGAAAATTCTTTCATCAGTCAGTTATATATAGTAAAGTTTCTTGTTTTGAGAAAAGAAGCTTTAGATCCTATTTTGATTCAGTCGATAAAACTTACCGACTAGCAAGTAAAGTTTATCGGACAGTTCCACTTTGTGCTCCTTATTGCGATAGATTGTTCTATAGTAGTTTTGATCAGAACTATAGTCATGTGTAATTAATATCTCAATCATCTGCAATACGTTATTCATTTCGAAGCGTAGTATCAAAAAGGCCTCTTTACAGGTTATGCATTATAGGTGTATTTCCATTCCATACAATCGGATAAGAAAGCCCAATCCTAAAAAGGTAATACCATCGATATGAAACTTCAATTTTATGATTCATGTAAGCAAATCATCCTGTTCTACACGACTTCATACTAATTATTCTTCTCATTCTAATAGACATCTCTTCTACACTAAGCCTTGTCACGAACGTTAGAATCCGAGGTGTCTGCACGATAAATATATTCTAAAAACATGTCACTGCGGTTAGAACTGGCACACCAAATCGATAAAGTTCAATCGATATGCAATCGGTGAACATATCAGACAACATTTGTAAGCAGAACTTTACTTTTTTGATCATCTTTTAACCAGAAACAACTGCTTTTTTTGACGATTCCTAGTAAGCGCACAGCTAGTAGGCTCGCCCAGCCCTGTGAACGCATCTGGTTCAAAACGAGTAAGTCATATCAGCAAAAAGTATGATCATCACCTAGTGCTATCTCTTCAGAGTTCTAGTTGTGTAACGTCGTACTAAATTGTTTATCCATAGACATAAGGCTGAATGTTGAACCTTGTTACCAACATTGGAAACAGAGACACCATAGAACTTCTTCTAATCTGTTCTTATAACAATGGTTTACTCTTCAAAAGCAATCACAGCTACAATCTTTATTTAGCTTTTCTTCTACACAAAAATCAATGAAAACGGAAGCAAAATATGACACACTCATTTCGGTAAAGGCAATGCTGGTATGATGGTTCCTACACATTCACCAAAACCAATTCGGTAGCCATCACCTTGGTAAAAACCTACAAGAACAAATCAGTAGACTATTTCATGTGTGCTTTTCGTCTCACCAGTCATTTTGATTGTATCACCATCTTCGAGAAACTTTCGCGTTGTATTCTCATCCAATTGTAAGGGTTTGGTTCCACGCCATGTGATTTCAAGTAATGAACCACATGAATCAGGCGTCGGACCACTGATCGTACCCGTTCCAATCAAATCACCAGGACGTAGGTTGCAGCCTGTGCTTGAGTGATGGACAAGCATTTGCTTCAAACTCCAATAGATATACTATTTGATTGAGAAATCGTTGAATATTAAACTGAATCTGAAAGAACGATGCGTTACTTTCAAATTAGATTGACAAATTGTATGCTCTGTCGATGATTTCGCCGCTAAAACAAATCAAAATAATGAAAAAGAAATATTTTGCATTTCTTTTTACGTTTCAATGTCACTTGTAAATCAATATTTAATGCACTTGGCTCTTGTTGAGTTAAATAAGGCAATGGTTTTGGATCCTTGAATAATGAAATTCACTCGCCTTGTATCATCTCTTCAAACCGACTCTTTACCTGTGTTGGTCCATTACTTAAAGCATCTTTCAATGCATCCATTGTCACGATCCATGGCGAAATGGTTGTTCCAAAATTTTTGGCATTGAATGGACCTAATGGAACGTACTCCCATTTTTGTATATCACGTGCCGACCAATCATTCATAATCACAAGACCAAAGATATAGTCATCAGCTTGATCCATAGGAATCGGTTCGCCTTGTTTGTTTCCCTGACTGCCAATGAAGAATGCCATTTCAAGTTCGATATCAAGCAGTTTGCAATTGCTAAATACGGGTGGTTTTGCTATAAGATTTAACAAAATATACAAAGGCAATCGTCTTTTGAGGTGAACAAACTTTCGTCAGGGCATGTTTGACCGTTTGGTCGACGAATATCTGTTCCAGAAATGACAACAGATGATGCTCGTCCATGGTATCCAACTGGTAAGTGTAACCAGTTGGGATTGAGAGCATTTTCTTTTCCACGAAACATTGTTCCAACATTCGTCGCATGTTCACGTGAACAGTAGAAATCTGCATAATCGTTTAAAACAAAATAAGAATGAAATGGAAAGCATCAGGAAAGTTCATAAAAAAAGTTCAAACCTGGATAAACTTTCGAAAGAAAAAATGATGAGAAACATGCGATAAACACTGTAGAGAGAAAAAGAAATGAATGTACGCAAGATTCACAAACGAGAGCGAAACGAAAGAAAAGAAAAATACGAAAGAGAGAAAAAGCACATGGAAACACGAAATGAAAATGTTATGTCGAAGGTGTAGAATTGTCGGACGAAACAGTGATGTTCATAAAGTTAATGATTTGTTTCAGGAGAATTTCAATAGATGTGGTGTTGGTGAGGACAGTTGGACTACTACCCAGGTCGAAGAATCCGGCCCGGAACTGACTAGTTCCAGGACCTTCCGGGAATTTCATGAAAGCAGTATTCCGGCTACCGAATCCTTTCATCGCATTTAAAAGGTTTTATCGGGAACCAGCAAGAACCCGCCATAACCATTAGTCGGATACGGTTACCGGTTCCTTCAGTGGGATTCCGAGTATTTTCTCGTGGTTTCCAGCGCGGATACTATAAATATCCTGCGGGTTTTCACGGGAACTAAGCGGAATACTGCTTCCAGGAACGATCGTCCTGGGTATTGGCAACAATCTTGCCGGACCAAATATCAAAGGCAAAACTGATGAATCTAAAAGACGCAAGAAAACAAATACATTTGATTCTGTTTGAAGAAAAGAAAGATGAAGACATACGCATTGGCCACGTAGAGAAGCAATATGAATATGACTAAAAGAAAAAGAACAGCGAGGATTAAACTGCTTAAAAAATGAAGATTCTACACGGATAAGTTAGTCGCGACAAAAAGCAGAGTAAGGGTGTGGTGGACTATCGTCTATCACGAATGAAATATTTGGTGAATGTGTTAGAAATCGAATTCATTTTAGTCTTTTCATTAATATAACAAAGTATCACTTTAATTCTCTTCGAAATAAGGGCAAAGGAAGATTGCTTTTCTTCTTAAGCATGAGAATGAGTAGAGCAACCGATAGGTCGATGATCAAGAATAAATTCGTCAAGTAGTCACGAAGGTTCCGACATATTCGTATTAGCTCCAGTCATGTTGCTTTCAATAATGATGCATTCAGTGATATTGTAATTTCTTCTCGGTTAAATCTACCCATTGGGAACAGATACAATTTATTGTCTTTCCTGTCAATGTGGTCCGTCATGTTTGACTGGATATGTTTTACATCGAACTCATTAAACGGAAATTTCCATTTCTTCAAACGACATTACTAAGATGGGTCGATACTACAGAACGCACAGCAACTAAAACTTTATATTACACGAACAACCGATGCAGTACGAAAAAATCCAAAATTGACAAGGTTAAGAATAAGAGAGCAAGCAAATTTTAAGCGGAGAAAAGACTTTAATGGTTACTACCGTAAACACAACAACAAGAACCATTAGTCAACCGCGCTATCTAGTCAGTTTTATGTCGAACGGATATATGTATTGGATTTGTGTTGGTGATCCAGCACCATACTCTGCCAGCTCGACCAAGAAACCAAGAAGAAGAAGAACAAGAAATGGAATTTGTTTCTAGCAACTGCTCAGAGCTGGTATTAATATTTTTATCCAATGTGTTATCTAAAAAGAAAAGTTTGATGGACTAATTTGTACATCGTACCTCTCCCTTTTTGCAACCTTTTTCTTGCTACGCCACTAATTGTGAGTACTTTATGTAGTTTGCTTCTTTGTGTCAACCTGTCTTTGGTCCAAAAAAAGAACTTTAACAAAACGAAACTGTCACGAAGCAACATTATATTTTTTTTCCTTTGGGAAACATGTTATTTTCAAGACTAATCCTGAATTTTAAACTCAATAAGAGTTTAAACAAGTTTTTTTCTCTGGCAACAAAAGCCGCCTGAACATCCAAGCTAATATCGACATTTTTCGCTTCTTCACGAAAGAATTCTAGCAAGATTTCAAATGTAAAAAGTATCAGTCACATCCTTTATGTCAATATTAATTCACAATTAGATTTATTAAGTTTAAATGTAGCAAATTTTCCTCGATCCACCAAAGGTCTTACAAAATGATGACAAAAGTTTACAATCAGTGTCGGTCGACCTTTTATAAATTGGTTTCCATAGGCGAGCAACTTTTGTACGTTTTATATCTTTCTACTTTTCCTCAGTGATGCAAATATCTGGTTGTAATAACGATGACTGCCATCTTGATCATATTCGGTAATACGATCTTCTCTGTTGCTCAAATCGGTAAAATTATATCCTACTAACCTGAACGATTTGTCCAACGTTGAATCCGACGATCGATACCATTCATTAAATCCGGCCATTGTTGTACAGGATCATTGGCTTTATCATTATTACTGCCCGACGATGGTGTTGGCGCTAAAGAGAACAAAAATAATGTAAAGAAATTCTTAACTTTAACCGATAATTGTAGGATATTTGAACTAACGATGATTCACAAAAGAATATAACCGAATACCTCTATCAAGAATCATAAACTCCATGCGCCTTATTTGTAGAAAAAGCATTTTCATCGAACAAAATCTAACCACATACGAATAACATTGAATTTTTTATTCTTCATTTCCCAGGATAGAAAACGAAAAGTGCTGGCGATTAGCAAAAAGTATGCTAATATTCTAAATAGACCGATTATGTCAGCAAAAATGTTATGATCACTAAGTGAGATTTCGCCACATTCTCAAGGATACAATGGAAATACTTCCGACAATCTGATTATTAACTCGGTTTTCAGGTGCGCGACTCTCATGTCAACCTGAACAAACGTTACTCTTCAGAACCAATTGAAATAGCTAGCAGTGTGACCTGGCATGCGATCATTCGTACAATTATAGACTGCACACAACTATCAAATAGATACCAAACACTAGTATAGAAAACGAGCTTCGTTTTCCACCCATGATTAATGATTGTTCTAAACTAGTTCCTTTTTGAAAAATTTTAGTTTCAACTTACCTATTACTGGTGTTTTTGAAGTAATGCGAATATCCAACTTCGTGATGTTTTCTTCAAGGCACTCACGGAACATTGGTCCACTACCCATGATGTGAACATCTCGACCACTGCTTTGCTCCCGATAAACGATTGAGAATTTTGCATCGTCGGGAATGTTGAGTGTGTTTCGTAAAGTGGATTCGATGTCACCGACACTCCCAGGTTCAACAATCCGGTCCGGAACCGCCCGGTTCCAGGACTTTCCGGAGATTTCATGGAAGCAGTATTCCGGTGACTAAATCCTGTCAGCGGATTTGCCAGGTTCTATTGGGAGCCGGGAAGAACGTACCATATCCTGTAGGTTTTCGTCGGAAATAGGCGGAATCTTGCTTCCAGAAACTGTCGTCCTGCGCTGGCATCCGGATGAAAACGAAAGTCGATATATTCCCCACCGTCTTTCGCGATCTTGATACGATTCAAGCCAGTCACTTCAAAAGACATCTAGAGCTAAAGGCAAAAAATACAATCTACTTACTCAGACAATGTTGCCAACAGAGGAACATGAAATAGAAATTGAACAGACAATGTAGTTCTCTTTTTTCTCTCTCTCCAAGTTTTGTTAGACATTGTTTTCTTCACAGATGCAATGAATCATACCATCAAACAAAAAGTCCAATCTTAAAACGGTGACACTATCGCCGTCAAACTTCACTATATGATTCGCGGAAACGAATCATTCAATTCTTCAAAACATCGTGCTCATCGTTCTTCTAATCTGTTCTTATAACAATGGTTTACTCTTCAAAAGCAATCACAGCTACAATCTTTATTTAGCTTTTCTTCTACACAAAAATCAATGAAAACGGAAGCAAAATATGACACACTCATTTCGGTAAAGGCAATGCTGGTATGATGGTTCCTACACATTCACCAAAACCAATTCGGTAGCCATCACCTTGGTAAAAACCTACAAGAACAAATCAGCAAACTATTTCATGTATGCTTTTCGTCTCACCAGTCATTTTGATTGTATCACCGTCTTCGAGAAACTTTCGCGTTGTATTCTCATCCAATTGTAGGGGTTTGGTTCCACGCCATGTGATTTCAAGTAATGAACCACATGAATCAGGCGTCGGACCACTGATCGTACCTGTTCCAATCAAATCACCAGGACGTAGGTTGCAGCCTGTGCTTGAGTGATGGACAAGCATTTGCTTCAAACTCCAATAGATATACTATTTGATTGAGAAATCGTTGAATATTAAACTGAATCTGAAAGAACGATGCGTTACTTTCAAATTAGATTGACAAATTGTATGCTCTGTCGATGATTTCGCCGCTAAAACAAATCAAAATAATGAAAAAGAAATATTTTGCATTTCTTTTTACGTTTCAATGTCACTTGTAAATCAATATTTAATGCACTTGGCTCTTGTTGAGTTAAATAAGGCAATGGTTTTGGATCCTTGAATAATGAAATTCACTCGCCTTGTATCATCTCTTCAAACCGACTCTTTACCTGTGTTGGTCCATTACTTAAAGCATCTTTCAATGCATCTATTGTCACGATCCATGGCGAAATGGTTGTTCCAAAATTTTTGGCATTGAATGGACCTAATGGAACGTACTCCCATTTTTGTATATCACGTGCCGACCAATCATTCATAATCACAAGACCAAAGATATAGTCATCAGCTTGATCCATAGGAATCGGTTCGCCTTGTTTATTTCCCTGACTGCCAATGAAGAATGCCATTTCAAGTTCGATATCAAGCAGTTTGCAGGTGCTAAATACGGGTGGTTTTGCTATAAGATTTAACAAAATGTACAAAGACAATCGTCTTTTGAGGTGAACAAACTTTCGTCAGGGCATGTTTGACCGTTTGGTCGACGAATATCTGTTCCCGAAATGACGACGGATGATGCTCGTCCATGGTATCCAACTGGTAAATGTAACCAGTTGGGATTGAGAGCATTTTCTTTTCCACGAAACATTGTTCCAACATTCGTCGCATGTTCACGTGAACAGTAGAAATCCGTATAATCGCCTAAAAGTATAACAAACAGATGAGAAACGGTTTTCAGTGTATTTTGAAAAAAGTGTTTTAGTCAATCGAACAAGCAGCTGAGATGATTAGTTGTTTTTTATTTTCACCTATTTGTGCAGGCAAATGCATAATAGCATCAGCTTGTTCGACGAATGCTCTAGAGATTATTGATTAGATTGTTAAATATTAATAAAAAAAAAGCAAAAAAAGCTATGATCACTGATTTTGATGACGTACTGTTTTCTTAATTGATCATTGTCCTTTAATGTTGGACAATCCTTCGAAAGAAGTTCTTGCAATCGCTCGCGAGTTTCTTTCCATGCCGATCTACCAAGGGACATGAATTTATTCAGCGTTGTCTAAACACACAATCAATAGATTTCATCATTCTAAGCAATGTAATTACTTCGTCGAAAACACTTTGTTTATCTTTCATCTGCGTCCCATCGAAGAGATGTTTGATGGAAGATAGATCTAAGATTTTACTTCCGATCGCTACACCAATTCTTGGTTGAGGCTAAATGATCCAAAGTAAACGTAATGATTGAGTCAGAACGTCTTCTGACTTACATTGTCTTTGGTGGAAAAGACACCGTAAGGAAGATTTTGAATGGGAAAATCTGAATCAGCACTGACTTCAATGAAAGACATCTGAAAAAAAGAAATGATTTTAATCCAAAGAAAAGCTAGAAGAAAAATGCAAAAACTAAAAGAGTTTTATTGTGTCTTGCTGCGTTTTTTCAAAGCTTTAGCCCGAACGCCACTCAAAACATGCATGATAAGTTTATTGGAAACGAATTCTGGTAATAATGAATTGAAGAATTCCTAAACAGAACAAAACCCCATTGAATATGATCGATATCTTCTCAACTTTTGATCTTACTTGAAGTTCATGTGTCCAATATCCAGTTGTAAATGGAACTGTGACACGGTCAAGAGCACTGATGACAAACTTTTCGGGTGTTGGTGCAATGAGTGATGCTTTTCGAATACCAGATAATTTGCTGACTACGTAACCCGGACATAATGATTGAACATAGACACCACGCGAAACACATTCAGCAGCCAACGATCTAAATGAAAATTTCCATTCAAAGATAAAAACTATTCTTTGACTAACCGGGAAAAAAGATCGATGAATCCTTTGGTACCAGAATAAAGACCTAATAAAGGTGCTGGCCGACGACCAGATATGCTCGAAACGTTAACAATAAGACCACTTCGTTTTTTGATCATATCTAAGTTTTCAAATGAATTTTCGTACGAAGATCAATGGATGAAATCCTACCTGGCAAGACCATTTGAGTAAGATTGGCAACAGAATCGACGTTACAACGAATCATATTCGTAACGAATTTTTCGCTTTCTTCAATCTTATCAAATGTTTCCGGATATTCATAAGACATTCCGACATTGTTAATCAAAACACCGATGTCTAAACCTCTAATACCTTCGCGAATTGTTGAATAACTTGATCCATCTTCTACAACAAACATTGAGATAACATTCCCAAAATCAATATCGTCAATTTACTTGAAAAATCAAATGCAATCGTCTTCACTTGAGCATTGTTATATTTGCCTTGAATTTCCTTTGCGACTTGTTCTAATTTTTCTTTGGTTCGACTAATCAAAACGATATTGAGACCTGAAATCATTTGATTAATTCATCATTTACTTCCCACCGAATGTCTTTTACCTCGTTTAGCTAATTCGATTGCATACGCTTTACCAATTCCATCTGTACTTCCAGTAACCACAGCCCATTGACCAAATTTCTTCACGTCGACTTTCACCGGACATAAAAGTTGATAAATGAACAATCCAAGTCGACCGACAATACAAATTAATGCAACTAATCCGATCGTTTCTAACAAGGTCATCTCTCCTGCTTATCTAAAAAAGTGACTATGTAAAAATAACAGTGTTTAGCCAATGAAGTATGATGATTCCATGAAATATTCTGCGGACGAGAAGAAAGAAAGAAATATTTTGCAAGTTTTCATTTGTTCGTTAGAGCGCAGTCATGGCTGATTATCTTGCGTCGATATTTGGTACAGAAAAAGATAAAGTCAACTGTTCGTTTTTCTTCAAAATTGGTGCCTGTCGACATGGTGAACATTGTTCGAAATTGCACAATAAACCGACGTTTAGTCAGACGATTTTATTGAAAAATCTCTATTTGAGCTTGGAGAATAGTTCGCAAAAGGCGGATAAATCTTTTATTGCCGATGATATTACAGAAGAACGAATCCAAGAGCATTTTGATGATACATTCGAAGAATTATTTGTTGAATTAGAAAACAAATATGGAGAAATTGAAGAAATGAATATTTGTGATAATTTATCTGAACACTTAGCTGGTAATGTTGAATATTACACAAGAATTTCATCATTCCTAGCGATTATTTTGTTTTGTTTTTCTTCTAGGAAACTGTTACGCGAAATTTCGTTACGAAGAAGATGCAGAAAAGGCAGTTGTTGATCTTAACAATCGATGGTTTGATGGACGTGCTATCTATGCCGAATTAAGTCCAGTAACAGATTTTCACGAAGCTTGTTGTCGGCAATATCAAATGGGGTAAAATTTTCTTCATTAAAAACTAATGAAAAATATTCTCTTTTTCTTTTCAGAGATTGTCCTCGAGGTGGATTCTGTAATTTTATGCATTTGAAACCCGTAGGTTTTGTTTTTGAATAGCTTAGACTTTTCTATTTGATTTTTTACTCGTAGATTTCAAAAGATCTGCGTAAACGGCTGTATCAACGACGTCAGAAGAGACTTCAATCTCCGTCACACGATTACGACCGTCGACATTTTTAGTTTGTAAAAATGAAACATAAAAAACACTTGTATCACGTTCATATCTGATTCGAACAATATAAATGTATCGATAACCTAGATGAAGCGAGAGAAAAAAAACAATCATAAATCGAGATATGCGTATAGACATATTTTGTTCCTGAAGACCTTGATAATGATGGAAAAAATAAACACTACTACAAGGCTGATAATTCTTCATGTATAGTTCGAACCCATGTGGTAGGAAATATCTATTCAACATTGTTTCGTCTAGCATATTTCATGTAAACAGAATATCTTGTTGATGAGTAAGTTAGGTCTATGAGAACATTTTTCTCAAAGGTCAATCATCGTGATTGTTAATACATAAGTTAACGGTTTCGTTTTTTGTTTAGTTTAAGTGCGAGTGCATTGAGCAATTATTTAGAAGAAAAGAATTCAAGCTTGAGAGAATGTCTTTACACTTCGAGTAATCATATAAATGAATAATTAACAAACCATGTAATAATTAAATTAAATAGACAAGTGCTTCGAGAAAGAAAAAGTGAAAATTTAATCTGATGATCATTAAAAAACAACTCATGTTATAGACATTCTCTTTCTCGGATTTAATTAGAAAAATATCTCGTATTTTCTCGGTCTAGACGTCAAAATTCGCGTTAGAAATATGTTGATAATATAGATTGAATGTGAGTTATGTCATTGACATGAAATTCTTACCGATTTAAATCAACAGAAATTGATTTGCTTAATATCGACATCGAAAGATAATCATTTTCACCTTTGAACTTTTATTGTCTATTACTATTCGTTAGGAAGCACAGAAGTTCATAATCAACTTTTCTTTCTCGTCGTTCTTTGTTCTTCTCTGTGTAATGATGCCAGTAGTGATGGTAGTGTCAGTCAATGTCTATATAAATCATTGTGTATATATATATATATGGTAAAATGTCACTTTTTCTCGTTCTCCTCTTTTTTTTCCTTCTTTCTTTTCATCGTTCTTATAGGAAAAAGAACGTTTCACCAGCAAAAAGAACAAATCGACGCGAACGCGCACAAGCGCGCAATTGATAATCATCATCATCGGGTGTCATTTGTGTCGAGCGAGTAAGTGAGAGTCAAATCCGGGCTAATAATCAAAGAGCAATTGAGCCAATTAGTAGTCAAGACGTGTCTCGTTCTTCTGTCTTTCTTTGCATATACACATCTATTTACGTCTACGTTCAATGTTGTTCCTTATTATTAGACGAGATCTTGTTTTAATTTATTCGTTATTATCGTTTCATATATACAAGACATATTATCGATAAGTATAATAGAAAAAGAGATAGAGACGAGCTTGTTGTTCGTTAAGAAGAGTGTACGATAAAGTAGAAAAGAATGTGACAATATGGGTTCGTTCTTTTCAGATCGATTAATTTTTCGCAGTAATCAAATCAGGTAAATTTCGTTTTGATATTTTACGTTGTTTTTTCGTTACAAATACATATTTGTTTTTCTTTGATTCTTTTTCTTCATTCGTATTTATTGACAGTTTATATTAGAAACAATAACATGTCAATCCGATTCATTCGGATATAATTTATGTATGAATAAAAATAAAAAATAATAATAGTAATAATAATAATAAGTTTCCCTTCTTTTTCCTTTTTCTTCTTTCGATTAAAAACTTTAAATCATCATCTATTTATATACACAAAAGAGCGTATAAGGATGTATGTTGATTATTTGTTGCTCTTCTCGCTAGTATATATGCGCCACACGCACATTTGCTTCGAGTAGTTTGTCGTCGTAGTAGCTTTTCTTCTCTCGTCTTTCTCAACAGAGGTTTCTGCTTGCTCTCTCCAGCTGCCGGAGGGAACAAATAGAAGAACAATATCACATCGTTGTCGTCGACAATGATGTTGTGTATAGTGTCGTATGTCGTTTTCTCTTTTCTTTCTTATTCTTTTATATATGATTGATTTTTTTTGTCTCACTCGTTTGCATATACGTTTATATTTACATGTGACACAATATTACAGGTGAGTAAAGAAACGTAGTGTCATCATTACTATCAATATGATTGCAATTAGTTCGTGTAGGTTTATCACGTTGATAACTTTGATTGAAATTTAATTTTGTTCAATATGAAAATATAAAAGAATCAGAAAAATGAGAGTACTACTATGACTGCCGAGTGGTATTGATCGGCATGTGTGGAGAGATTTCCTTTCTCTCTCTCTCTCTCTCTCTCTCTCGACATATTGACATCTAGTACTCATTCGTAATGGTAGTGTAGAGAATTTCTTTCTTCTTTTTCCTTTACCCACCCTTCGTTCTTCGTCTTATTCGTCTACGTATTCTCTTCTTTGCTTCTCCTCTTTCACTACACACACATATATATGTTTGCGTTCGCATTGAGGCCAAGCATATAGCCACTGTCAAATTATTGTTAGAGTGTATATAATTCATCGACGAACAGCAATGAGAGTCCAAAGAGGGAAGAAAGAGAGATAGTGCGTGAAAATGAACGACGAATAACGGAGGAGTCGACGAAATGCAGATGATAATCAGTCTAGTGTAATCATTGATCGACGGGCGGGCGATGGCAGCAAGTCGTTCTTCTCTTTCTCTCTTCACTCTAACAACAATAATAGAAATCCTTTTAAGTAGAAACGCGCATACAACTCTAAAGCAAAACATAAGCAAAATATCAACGTTCTTTGTTTGTGTTTTATATATCTATATCTATATGTAGTTCCTAATACTTCTTTGTCTCATTATTATTATTATTATCAGTTTGTGTTTCTTCTTTATCGTCATCTTGTTTGATTTATAGTCGTATGCATGTGATGGCAAATCTTGCTGATTATTATCATTTTCTCTTTATCATAGTTGACTTCTAACTAGAAGAAAAAGAATAAGTATACCCTATCTTGTTCGCTTTAGCTTTTTTCCTCTTCTCGTGCCGTTGATTATTTGACAATAACAACATCGATTACAACAAACGCGTCATCACTATATCAATTAGAAACATAAAAAAGACGAGAAGAAAGTAACAGTGATAGAATAGAACTTTTTTTTTCTCAGGTATTTATAGTTCGTGTCAACATATGGTATAATTGTATGTGTGTATATGTATGCGCCCATATATGGGTTCATCGAGCCGAACAAACAGAAACACATCCGATACCATAAGTGATTGATTAATCGGATCAACTGACTGTTTTTTCTCGTTCTGTATGTATTTATATATATATGCGCTCACATAATCTATTCATGTCTATCTTTCATTTTCCTTCTTTTTATCTATTAGACAAAAAAAACCATTTAAATCAAACATGCAGTTGATTGCACTATTAAACACAAGATAAANGGGTTCATCGAGCCGAACAAACAGAAACACATCCGATACCATAAGTGATTGATTAATCGGATCAACTGACTGTTTTTTCTCGTTCTGTATGTATTTATATATATATGCGCTCACATAATCTATTCATGTCTATCTTTCATTTTCCTTCTTTTCATCTATTAGACATAAAAAAGCCCCATTTAAATCAAACATGCAGTTGATTGCACTATTAAACACAAGATAAAGAATTATTGTATATATTAAACTATTGTTGTAGTTCATGTCACAGTAATAGATAATCTAATGTCTTTAATATATCTGTATCTCAGCCAACCCGGTGACGAGTAATGAATTGTTGGTGTGCGTATCGTCTGTTGTTTTCTTTTCCTTCCTCTTCAACGAGCATCAGACTCTTGCGCTCGTGAGATTCGGTCGTGCGGCAAAAGGAATAAGAGAACGGGAAGCTCGTACCCATAGACACATAGAAGGGCCGTTACATGACGTCGGTTTGTTCCTTATTAAGGTGACACAAGCAACAAACGGGGGGTTCTTTTCATTCTCTTCATCATTTTTCTAAATATGTCTACCATGATTTGAATTATTCTATTCCTTTTTCTTTCAACATATTAGACGCATATTTTACATGAAATCAAAATAATTTATTAAAAGAAAAAGAAAAGAAAAGAAAAGAAAAAGCCCTTTCTTCACCAATTATTAATTAATATCTCAGTGACAATTAGCGATTTCATTTGTTTTCTTATTTATGTAAATGTTATTTGTTAGTATTACATAGATCGATATCATTCTACGTTCTTCTTTATTCTCTCCCCGTCTCTCGTTTACTTCGAAACGACTATGTGTTTTATCACACTTGACAAGTTGATCGTTCCTCTCCTCTCCCTCTCGTGTGTTATAATTTCTAGTTAATGACATATACAGTAGAACGACAATTCACGCGTCCCGCTAGCATTCATGACTATTATGTTTTTTTTTGAATATGTATGTTGCTTTTAATTCATCGATGAGTTAGAAGTTGAGCTTGAACATTCTTTTTTTTTGTTCTTCTTTCAACAGATCGGTCAAATAGACTTGTTAAACATGCAATCTTATATCGTCTTTTCCGATTTGCTTTTATCGTGTTCATTCAATTTTCTAATGAAGATTCTTTCGAAGTTTTATTTATTTGATCGATCAGAAAAACTCTTGTATGTCAATAATCTGCACCTGATAAGCTGTCGTGTCGTGCTGTGCTTTGCTTAACAGAAGGATGATTGATTGGTTTCAAGGATCGAGACGAACTCTCTCCTTTTCTTTCTCTTTCTTTTCTTTTTTCTTTTTCTTCTTCTTCTTCTGTTTCTTTCGTTATCGACTCGTTTCTCATTCTTTATTTCATTCTACACCATCACACTGCCTTTTTGATTCTATATGTATGTATGTGTCTGTGTGTGCGTGTGTGTGTGTCTGTGCAAGAAATAGGAAAAGAGCGAGAATAAGTAAAAAAGAGTAGTAGTAGTAGTCGTTGTCGACGGCATGATTTCCGTTCATTCATCTAGAAGAAAACTAAATTAGTTGATGCTTTTTGTTGTTTTTATCAAAAAAGAAAAGAAAAACTATATAATATATCTATATGTGTTATTTTATCTATTCAAGAGGGTCACAATCAAATATTATCAATCAAAGATAAACATACAAAAGCGTTGGATATAAAACAAGATCCAAATATTATTAATAGTGAACTATTCGTATCGGAAATCAAAGAATTCTATCCGGCCGCACACATTAAGTAAGAAGAATATTTAAAATCTTATTGACTTGAATACAGAATAGAACACAAAAAAGTCTGAGCGAGAAGCAGAAGAAGAAAAATAACAACTAACACACTGTAATCTCTTGACAAGAGAAAGAGAACAAAGAATGCCTACTATTGCGTACGCACATACACATTTATCTACTACATATATATATAGAAAGATTTGTTTTGTCTATATAAACATTTTTCTTATTTAATTCAGAGGTCGGTCTTGTGTGTTTGGCTGGCAAGAGGAGAAGAAGAAGAAGAAGTTCGTGCATTGAAAACTCGATTCGGATACATTCTTTTATATTTTAACATACGATCTTATAACACGCAGACTGGCGAACACGCAAGGTGAAATACGTATTGGGCCATCACATCAAGCCAAATTACCACTTTTGAAAGCGTCTACATCGTCTTTATCAAATAATCATGATGATGGGTGTTCATTACGCGAAGAATTATTATGGAAAAACTCCACTAATGATCTCGATCTTTCCGTGTATTTACAAGCAGCACGATCGATTGCGGCATTCGCCGGTATGTGTGATCGCGGTTTAGCAGAAGATATGTATGAAGTAGCTCAACGAGATGATACAACAATCAACGCTCTAGCAATCTTACATAACCACGATTATGATTGTAAACGTGCTATACAAGCACTTGTTAAATGTCCAATACCGAAGGGAATTGATCGAAAGTGGAGTGACGACGATCAAAAGAAGTTTATTAAAGGATTGAGACAATACGGGAAGAACTTCTTTCGTATTCGAAAAGAACTTTTATCGCATAAACAAACATCTGACCTTGTCGAATTTTATTATCTATGGAAGAAGACGCCACAAGCACAATCAAGTCGCCCGCGTCGCCGACAACGTCCGTGTTCAACACTAGTGAGTGCTTCGACAACACCAACGCCAACGAAACAACGAAGTACGAAAGCAAATAACAAGGATGAATCCGATGAAGACAATCAAACGACTATCGATAGCGATGAACAACTCTGTCGTCATTGTCAATCATCATCAAAAGATCTACAAGCGATCGGACGTGATAATCAATTATTTTGTTATGATTGTCGAATGTATTATAAGAAAAACGGCGAAATGCCAAGTGTAAATATCGAAAGTTCACCGTATTTATTCAAACCGTTGAATGAAACAAGTTCAAGTACGGGAAAACGAAAACGAACAAAAGCACCGCAATCACCCGATGAAAACAATTCATCGTTAACACGTTCGAGAAAGAAAACGCGAAGTAATGACAAACTTCCATCGATTAAACAAGAAGCCGAAGAAGCTGAAGAACTTGTTATCAAAAAAGAAGAACAGGAAAACGAAAAAGTATCATCATCATCTTCATCATCATCATCCACGACATTTACGAATTCTTCGTTACATGTTAAAACTGAAGATTTAAATTCGACTATTCATACACCAACGCCTTGCAAACAAGAATTACATTCACCATCGACGATACTTCCAGATAATTCAACAAAAATTCTTCTGGATCACGCCAAACAGAGCAATACGAATTTATTATTATCTTCACCGTCATCTGCATTTTCACGGACTTTGAAAAAATCTTTATTATCATCCAAAGATTTCGATGAATTTGATTCAGTAGCGAAAACGAATCCAACGGTAACTGGTGATATTATACCTAGAGATTCATTAAAAGATAACGATCTGTCAAATGATGAAGGTAATCTATCAGATAATTCCACAAATAATACCCCCGAAGTCACTCCTGATGATGGACGAGCACCACTTAGCTGTGAAAAAGGTTAGTTGGAGTTTCTTACTACTTTTCAAGTGATAACGATTTGATTCCGTTTAGAATGTTACAATAAATCTCAAGGAATTATTCTCGTGAAAGTCTATGATCGATCAACTTCAGAAAATTCATGTGCACGAACAGATATTGTACTCAAACGTGGTAGTCGTACTCGACGAAAACCAAGTAACTTGCCGCCAACACCGGAGACATCATCATCATCTACTCAACCAGTAAATAATTTCAAGCAAGAAGATCGAAATCTATCGGTATGTCGACCGGTACAGATACATTCAATTTGTTTGTTTTTTCTTTTTTTTCCAGAAACTATCATTCTCCTTGGATAAGGTGCCACCAATGCTTCATCCATCTGGTCCACCATTAACATCATTTGCACATCCGGATCCATTGCTATTAAACCAAAATAGTCCACTCTTTCATCCATTACCAATGCATGCGCTTGCTGGTGTAGCAAAACCACCTTTAGGTTTTCCATCACCGTTTGGTCCGTTGCCACCCGACAATGCAGCATTGCGTCATTTGGATCCGTTAGGTTTCCGTCTGATGAATTCAGCAAATTCAACTGCTTCCCAACTATTTCCTTCACAGTCACCGTTTGCATCCGGTCTTGCTCGACCAACTCCTGGTGGTTTCGATCCAGCAACAGCTGCTCTCCTACTCGATCCACGTTATCGTAGTATGATGCCAACCTTTGGTAATTCGTCACCATCATCAGCCGGACCGTTACCATCATCTCCATCGAACCATTCATCACCGCTGTCTGCTCATAACAACGGCACACATAATCATGCTCATATTCATTCACATTCGCATACACATCTACATTTAAATAATACAAATGATTCGACATCATCATCATCATCGTCGTCATCAGCCGCCGCCGCCGCAACAAATGGCATGTCATTACCACCTCCACCCTTATTACCCTTTACAAATCCTCTTTCAGGTAAATTGGTCTCTTACGATTAATTAACATGCATATTGTATTTTTCTACACAGGCATTCCTCATGGAAATCCTTTACTACATCCCGGTGGCCCATTACCGCCAGTGGGTCTTGAAGCAATGCATAATTTTGCTCGTGAACGTGAATTAATGTCCTTAATGTTAGCTAATAACAGTCGATTCGATCCGATGAGTCTAGCGCTCGCTAATCCATTTCAAGTAGGTTCTATTCAATTGAATATCTTCAAATGCTTTATGATTGTTTCGATCTGACTCTAGATGGCACGTCTTGATGATCTTTCACGATTGAACACGAGAGAACGATCTATACGTGAGCACAATGAAAACGAATTTCGTCGATTGAGTTTGGAAATGGAAAGACAACATTTTCGTTTTCCATTCCCACCCACACCTGAGGAACTACTTCGGTAAGAATCTCATCTATTGTTCTCTGTCCGAATAGTCCTATTTGTTTTTTCGTAATTCTAGACGTTATTAACTCGTTTCGATTCGTCACACTCTAACAGTATATTAACAGTGAAGAAATTCATGTTTTTCGAACATATGCCTCATGTAATCGTTTTTATTCTTCATGTAGCATTAGTTTTGCTTCTCTTCCGTCTGTTCTAAAGAAAAAAACAACATTTACCTTCGTACTCGGTGCTTTTCGCCGTATTGTCATATTGTTTCTAAAAAGCTGTACAAATGAATTTTGATTTCTTCTTTTTCTTATATTTGTTGTGCTAGTTCGTTGTATACGTTTTTCTTTGTTTACTTTTCTTTTCGAAAATCTTTTGTTTTCGGATAAAATATAAAACAAATCTACTATATCATATCAATTTACTTGCTTCGACACTGAAACAAACTTTCTTTATCAAATAGACGCCATGTCCACGTTTGATAACATTTACACACAAGAAAATGCATAGAAACTCGATAAGTAGTCACCTCGACGGCATCAATTGTCAAAGAAATCATCAACAACAAGGGTATAGAATGATTTTCAACAGTTATTAGTCTTCTCGTCAATGTTACAGTCGAAAATAGTTGACATCTATTTTGTACGTTAAACATAACATGTTAGAAGGGTGTAATATTTTCAAAAATGGAAGCGAAGCTTGTTTGTCTGCGCAGCGTTGAAAAAAAAATACAAAATTCTGTTGATTCAAATAACACTGTTATTACTTCGTCAATAGCGAATACTATTCGCTGCAGATACACACACACGTTGTTTTTGTTCTACTTTGATTACAAAGGAAGAAAAACATCAGCATGACTCATTTGAAATATTTGTATAGAAATTGGTATGTTTCACGTTATTCCTTTTTTTCGCGGAACAGCTTTTCAGTGTTGCCGCCAGCTTCAGGTAAAAGAAGGCAAGAGGAAAGAAAAGAAAAGAAACTAATTATCATAGTTTGTCACTATATTTATGGGGCAGCAATCGGCGCATCATTCATCAAAAATGCAACAGCAAGAATGGACACTTCCATTATGGCAATATCGAAAAGAAAAACATGAATGGTCTGAACGACAATATGACACCGGTACTCCGAGAAATATCTGGAATCAATTTCGTGTAGTTACGTACAATATTTGGTTTTCGGAACAATATCAACCAATGCGTTTTCAAAGTCTTTGTGATATTTTACATCGATCTGATGCTCAAATTATCGGTTTACAAGAAAGTTCGTTGTTTTTTGTTCTTTGACCATTCTTGACTGGTTGATTTTAGTGACTCCGAATATTCTCAAACATTTAGTAGCACAACCATTCATCCAAGAAAAATACTGCATATCCGATCCGGACGGTCGGACATTCTATGGTTGGTATGGCGTTGTTTTATTAATTGATGTTCGTCTTCACATATCTCGCTTGGATTTGTTCAATTTTCCACATTCTGTAATGGGTCGTCGTATGGTACTTGCCGAAATTAAATTGGATGAAAACGAAACACTTCGGATTGGTACGGTGCATTTGGAATCTTTGAATAATAAACCACAGCGACTAGCTCAGTTGAACCTTTGTCAAAAAGTCTTCAATCGAGCTCCAAGCACGTGCATTCTCATGGGTGATTTCAACTTTCACGCCGAAGGACAAGAAAATGTCGAACAGTTTAGCGCCTTACCGGAATGGACTGATGTTTGGGTGAATGTTATGGGTCCTAACAATCCTGGTTACACTTTTGATACACATGTAAATTCAATGACAAAGAAAAGTAATGGAGGATCAGATCGATCACGATACGATCGAATTATCTTACGAAGTCAGACAGTCGTTCCTACACAAATTCAAATCTTAGGAAATAAACCTGTTGGGCAGCAACAAAACTTAGATGTATTTCCATCAGATCATTTCGGTTTAACGGCCATATTTGAAAGAAAACAATAAGATAACTCCATTACCAATCCAAAGGAGCTTTTTGTTCATTTTATTGCAAACCAAGAACTTTTGTCATATTTATTGGAAAAATTTATTCTGAAAAGTAAAATCTAATTTAATATTAATGGCTTTCACACGTGAATTATTGACTTTGTCGATAGGAAAGTCGAATTCAATACGATAAGTGCGTTCTAAATAGACATTTTATCTGTCATAGCAAAGATGATTGATAGGAAATGTATTCGATGAATTTTATTTTGCTATATATTTCAAATAATCAAACTACAGTAAAAGAAAATCACGGGAAATGTATTGTCAGTGAAAGCCGATGGACGGAGTGAAATTATGTTTGAAGTTTATCGGCTAGACGTCGAAATCGAATCAAAGCTTCGACAAGGTACATCACACATGCTGCAAATCCAAACGCCTGAAAATTGACAACACTCTATTGAAATTCAATGTAAAATGCTCAACTCACAGAAGCTGCTGCTGCTGAACCGATTTGTGGTTTGACAAAGCCATTAGGTGTATTGATGAATTGGTTATTCAAATAGATGTTTGTCAACTGCTTTCTCAATTTGTCCTCCCAACACTAAACAAACGACTATCAACTCTGAAGAACATATTCTTCAACTTACAGCAACGACAATCGACACACCACATAGAGCAAAAGCATAAATAATACAAAGAAATGCTATCTAAATAATAAAAGAAAGATAGTTGGTCGTACGAAATATTTGCCAATAGAGTCGACATTACTGCAGTAGAAAATCGATGCCACGAATATCGATAACGAATATTAAACAAAACATGAAAAATAAATGTTATTGCTGTTAATATAAATATAATCATCAGAATAGCCTGATCAGCTTGTTTTATTGCAAATGCATCAATATCATAAAATACTTTCCAATCTCCCGTTGGCTAAAATAAACACACATCAGCCATTCTCGCTCGAAGATTTTACATACAGATGCAGTTATATTGTATTTAATTATATTCGAATACGAATCGACTAGTTGAGCATAGCCAGTTGACGCTATACATACAGCTATAAAACCACCAGCAAGCAATATCTACATCGAATGTGATAGATAAGTAAATCAACGCAAAAAATCTCTTTTTACCAATTCAATAATGTTGGCAAAACCAAGAAGTGAACAGGTATAACTGATGTCAACCATTTTAGAAATTGAATTTCAAACTTGTTTGGAGAAGCATGTGGAATACCTAGAAGGGAAAAAGAAGGATTTTTTCCCACGTTCTAAACCCAGAAACGTGATGATAACGATCTAATTTTTCTTTCTTAAAAAACGACATAAATTACTAAAACGTCTGCTGAATGCGTAAGTTGGAGAGAAAAGAAACAGATTAAACGGTGCAGAAAACGTCACAGAGAAAAGATGCTCGTCGAAGATGTTATGGACGAGATAGAACAACGGAAGCTCATTACCGCACGGATGAAGAAAAGGAAAAAGAAAGAAAGTGCTGTTGACTGTTCTGTTTTTCTCCTTTTTCTTATTTGATGAATGACAGAAAAGATAAAGATTTAAAAGGAAACGTCTAGTGGCACCTACGAAAAAATCCAGATCCAATCTCGAATGAAGTTGATTAGCACTTAAGTTAATAGATGACTGCTCGTTATAAATGATGAAAACCGGAAAGATTATGATGTTCTCTTCATCGCGTTAGTTACCTACGTATTATGGCAAGAGTGTGCGAAGAAATTTGATGAAGTTCATATTTACTCATGCATGTTGCGTTAAAAATCCTGAAGAGAAAATTCAATATAGAAATTACGCAGATGAACTTTGTTGTAACGATTTGACATAGCTGATTTTCTTATATAAGTTGATTATATTGTAAAAAAAACGCAAATAATTATCTTTCTGACAAGTTTTGATTATCTTCGTTTCATATTACCTTGACAGCTGTCAAAATAAAACAAATCCGTATCCTCTTTCGAAGAATATTCACACCAGTTCTTCCTATACACGAAGAGATACTTCAAACTTAATTTTGCATTTTCCTGCTCCCATTGACGGCTATTAACATTTAGAGTACAACGCTCGATTTATAGTCATACTTCACGAGCATTTTCTCGCCGGTAGCTTAGATATCGATGAAATTGGTTTTTGTTTAGACAGACTAGACTTAAACATTTCCTTGTTGATGTTTGACGTAGAACTTCTCATTTTCTCAGAATTATTCATGATTGTTTATACGCTGTCAACGAAGGCAGACTTAGAAATATGTTTGCCGAATCTTCCAAAGATAAACATCAGGAAGTGATGGAATTTCAAATCTCGATCGATGAGTTCAGGATGTGGAGCAACATAATCAATGCTCTTTTGTTGTTGTCGCACGAATCTCCGAGCTCTCCAATCAGATCGGAAATTATTATTCTCATTGTTTTTCATATATTCTTTCATCTAAAGAAAAGATAAAGCCAAATCTGAATAAATTAACAATGATAATTTACTTTGTCTATAATTACAAGCAAAAATGAACTCTCTAGTTCCGTTTATATTTTCGGCATCTCTCTCTCTGTAAAAAAAAAACTATTCACCAGATCGAGATCATTTTCTTTGTTAACCATCAGCACATCAGACGCAGCCGAATGCAGTAAGACACTCTAACATACATTCAATCCGATGAACTTTTCTTGTTTTAGTAACCTTTCATTACTGATATTCTTCTTAGCATTAGTGTTCGTCATTAGTGCTCGAACAAGTTCATCACTAAATGATCGTCGATTATGTCCAGAAGAATATCGCGAATTGCGTCGTCGAAATGATGATTCCAATTCTGATTCTGACGATGATGGCGATGATGATGACGACGACGACGACAACAACGGCTGGGATCAAATTTGCCGTGCTGCATTGCAAGAACCGCAATCAATCAAAAACCAATCACTTCTGCGTATCTACTGCCCATACCTCGATGAGGCTTTGGAATTAGCACAAGTCAATAATGATACATTGTGTGAAATGAAAAAACGAGCACTTGTCAAGCGAAGTTATGGAAAACGAAAACGACAAAGTATGAAAAAGAAACGATACGATGACTCGAGTGATGACGATGACGAAAAACGTCGATCTTTACGCAAACGCAAATTACACAAGCGACTTGCTTTAAGATTTATTCGGAAATCCTTGTAATTCAATGGATGAAAGAAATATTTAGAATAAACAGACATTTTCATCGCAAAATTTTCATCTACTTCGACAATAACAGATGATTTTGTTTCATAAAATGAACAACTGCTCTTGCATAATTTCTCGCATGAGTACGTCGATTGACACCTGCACGGATGTCATACGGCAATTCGGTTTGAATAGCATTAATGCCCGAGATATAGTTCTTGGTTATATATCCACCGGAGAGAAATCTCAGAGATCCAGGTTTCGGATTCGCTAAAGAAGGATAAGCAATACCAAGTTGATTTGATTCCAGTGCGGTACCGAATGAGTTCGGACCTCGAATACATTCTTCACGACTTGAATTACAAAGTAAATCAATCGATGTTGGCACCAAAAGAGTATTCAGATCATTTCTATTCAATTGATCACTTGTTAAAAGGTATCCGACCATCGTATAACTATGAATATACGCGGAAATGGTTGGACTATACTCAATTGGTTGTAGCTTACTTTCCGGCACTATGTCCGTGAATATCAAGAAGTAAACCTTTTCCAAAGTTGAGCTTGATTTTGTCAACGGCTTGTTGAATATTTCCATGATAATGTCGATGTGCATTCATAGCCTCAGGATGGTTCAATGTGGCTTCTTGTATTTCTCGATTAAAATCAATTTTCGTTCGACTCCATTTGCCAATAACAACGTACGGCTTGAGAGCATACTGGATATCCAATTCATTCACCACATTCTCCGCAAATTCATCACTTAGTGTATCTTTTACTGTCGTTGTATTGCAACGTTGTCCATCAGTACACGTATCATTGTACCACCAAGTACAAAGCCCAGCGCTCATACCTGAATGACGAAGACAACCGCCGATTTTTCGGTCAGGTAAATCATTTGGTGTTAAACTACCACCATGGGGTGCTGATATAATCAAATTCACATTTCCCTGTTGATGATATTTGAATGACGATCGGTAACCATCGATATAGTTCAATACTCTCTGTTGTTCGGCTCGACTACTCAACAGAACAACAGCTACGATTGATATGTAGAAGTAGGTTAACAACGACATTAAATGTAAGCTATTGATATGCTTTATTTTCGGACCACTCATCACACGACATGTGTTTTAACCATATTTCACATTCACATAACCGATTTTCTGCGCTGTACTATTTCTGAAGTCAGAATGTAAGAAAAATTAACAAAAAAAGTTTATTGAAATTTGAATACAAACATGGCTTGATTATGGAATAAAATCTAATTCGAATATTAGTAGAAAAAAAAACACAAAGAACAACAGCAGAAACAAACCAGACTAGAAGAAAACATTCGCGAAAAATACAATAAAAAAAACGAACTTTCTGGTTTGATAGATAACGATTTCCTCTAAACTACTTCATGTGCCAGAATTCGTTCTTCTCGTTCAGCACGAATCAATGTTCGTGTATCGATATGTTTGATGCGTCGAATATTCTTCGCAAGGTTCGTTGTTGCTTCAACCATATCTTTGATTGCGTAGGATAATGTATGAAAAGCTAAAACATCACCAATTGATTGATTGGCGACGAATTCTGCACGGAGAAATCGATCGCTGGCATAGAGAAAATCCACTAATGCGACTAACATGGCATCGACAGCATTTCGCAAGGATGGTAACGGTTCGTGTTCGACTTTTTTACCTTTACAACAAGAAAAGAATCGATAATGATTGGAAATAACAGGAAGAGCTTCGAACTGTGGAACAGCGTAAAAAGATGGACCACGATTCAATGTTCGCTGCGTTTTTAAAAGTGTTATGTCTTGTTCATCGTGAGAGTCTTCAGAAGCAATTTGTTCTAATTCATAAGATCCGACATCAACAGCTGCTTGTTTCTCAATCAACTGCCCAGCTAATTTGAGAACGTGCTGGATACGTTCCTCAAGTGTGCAAATATGTTCAAGAACAGGTTGATATAAGACTGTATGAGCCAGACGAAGGGACGCAGATGAATTATTTGAGATGAGAGCCTTGTGTTCGAATTTTGGTTTGCAATTGGGTGAGTAACTCATAAAGATTGTTAATGGAATATCTAAGTCAGTCTGTAATTTATGATCCGTACGTAATTCTTTCATTGTCCAAGCACGTGTTCTCGGCTCGGTAGCATTACTTGCAGCAACACTTGCTCGTCGAACTTGCCATCTAAATTGAAATGTCAGAAATTGTGTTGATCAAGGAAGTTCTTTTATTACTTGGCTTCCTGAGCAAAATGTAGTTTGGATTCAGCTTTGAGAATTGTGGTACACCGATGAACGAATCGAATGTCAACACTGATTCGACGGAGAGATTTGGCTACTTCGCCGTATCGATCTTTGATTTGTACGAATGGTCGTTTCCAGAAATTCGGTTCATTCAGAGCTTCTTCAAGCAAAACAGGAAAGCTATCGGCGATACGTTCAGTTTCTCCAAGAGTTTTGTTTAGATTAAACGATGGTTTATTTCCTGATGCACCCTTAGAATCACCGATAATCGGACGAATAAATGAACAGAAGTCTTCAGTCGACGATTTCAAAGATTCAGAAACATTGCCAATCATTAAAGATACCTAAAAACTGAAACGGTGATGATTTTGACTCGACAAGGGTTCATTTACCTTTTTCTTAATGATTGCTCGAGCAGTAATAGGTAGAAATATATTCGAAATCAAAACATGAATAAATATACCCAGAAATGTTAAACTTGTACGAGCTAAAACAGCCGAATTCGATGCACTCATTTGTCCTTGATTATTTCCAGAAAGGAACGTTATAATCGATGCTGATTGGCCACAAACACTTGCAAAATATTCTTTTCTCGGATCAGTTTTTAAATAGCCCATTAATCCAACAAATAAACAAATACATATACCAACGGCAATGTTATTTTCTAACACACGTACAACAACATACGCATAGGTTGAACCGAGCAAAACAGCCATTAAACGATGAAGTGAAAGACGAAGTGTGCTGCCTTCAGAAGAATCAGAAACAAGTGCTGTTGTCATCGGTGCCCAATAGAACCAACCCTTTGCTTGTAAACGATCACGAAAATAAATAACAGTGACAGCAGATATAAGTACACTGAGGCATGTTTTTATTGAGCGAACGAACTTCTCAGTTGTTGGACGAATGCCGATATAGGCTGCAAGAGCATCGCACGGTTTTCTCCAGCTAAATTTTGCTTTAGGTTGCGGTGCGGTTGGCGTTGGTTCTGACGGATTGTCAAAATGAGCACCGGGAGTTTTACTTGTTTCAGCAGCGGTTATAGTCGAATGGACAAGACGTAATGTAAGTAGAAGAAATGTGTTTAAACGAATTGCATCCGTATTTGATATTTCTGAATGACGTGGACTTTCTCGTACTTGCGTATAGGTTTCGAAAAACACCTCTAAAGCTTCTTCAACTCTTGTTCGACAAGCTATTACATGTGCCTTATCGAAATAACTCGTCGATGCTGTTGTATAAGGAAGTGCTGAGTCCAAAAAATCAAATGTCGAGTCGAGAAGATGACAAATAGCCTTTCAATAGAAAACAAATCTTCTTATTGTCATTGTCTGTATGCAAAATGTGAAGGTGTGTCTTTTTCACATCCACACCTTTCAAACGGTCGACGAAGAAAAAGAGACAACTTACATTAATCAGTTGACGTTGACCAACAAACGCGTGGTGATGATGATCTAATACTAACATCGCAGTAATTGCTCGTTGTATTGAAGCTAGACCGGTTGTCCATATAGCTAACCTTGCTTGAAGCGTTGACGCTGGTTTAACAAATCGTTTGATAAACGGTATATGTCGACCTATGCGTCGAATTAAATTGAGCAATTTTAGCAAAATAAAATAAGGTTCGTGCGAGATTTCTGTTAAGGCACGTTGCATTTGTTTTAATTCATCGTTGACTAATGAATGTAAATCCTGGATATCACTTTTGAGTAGATGATCATCTCGAAGATCTTCGAATGATGCGGAATGACTTCGAATTTCTTCATCACGAAAAGAATTGTTCAAAATCTCAATACCATTATCATGCTCCTCTGTTATACTCATTTTTTTACTTTTTGCACGTAGTTCATGCCCATAACCTTCCATTAAATGTGTGTTATGAAACTCAGATATAAGCAAAACAATCGCTGTTATTTCGCGTCTTGTCTGTCGAGCGATAAACCTCATACGCATCGTTAATTCACGATAAGCTGTTGGAACAACTAGAAGTGGAATACACGTGACAAGCACAGCTAAGGTTGAACCAATGGATAACGAGGCCCAGATTTGCAGCGCAAAACTCGTATCGATGTTCGGTTTCGACCACCATTGTATTAATATGATACACGTCGGTACAATGGAAAATCGCCGAACAGTAACAGGTAAATCGGTATAGACAATGAGAAGAACGAGAACATTCGTCGCACCCACCGAATAATAAACATTATTTGGTAAAAAATTGATTACTAATAGACAATAAACAGTTGCGATAGCACCACCAAGATATAAGCGAGTAGCTGATTGAATTGTCGCTCCGAGTGTACTTTTAATTGCAACGATAAAGCTAACACCGAGTAAAAGTTGACCTTTGATTGAAAACGAAGTTTGAGGAAAAAGAGTAAACGCGGCCACGCACTAGACAAAATTCACATATATTCTCCATCAAATGTTACTCGATCCAGTCAACTTACCGATATTCCTAACAACGTTCGAAATGCAATTATTAATCGAGCTGAAAATGCTGGTAATAATGGATGCCAGCATGTAAAACGTGGTGGTCGATATTTCGACATAGTATTCGAATGTATGATCTAAAATATGTAAACAAGAAGAGCCTTGGTTGTATTATTTGAGTTACAAATCGAATTGATAATGATTTGTGTTCTTCTTCCCTCGATTATATGAGTCAACAATGTTCGAAAATGAAACATGAGTCAGATCAATGATTTCTCTAAAGTTTATCATCATTCTTTCGTCCTTGAATACGAAAAAAACGTTTTCTTTGCTTCTGAGTCAGAGCAAATAGGTATATTCAGTAACGGTGTTATCTCGATTAATTATTCCTTTCAAAATGTCATTTAATAGAAGGTAAAATGTAATAAAAATTTGCACAGATGGAGAAAAAAAACAAATCGAACGTGTATATATCAGATTGCATACTCATATAATCAAAAAAAAACAACAGCAGCATAGCGTCTATTAATATTCTCTCTTCTCTTTCTCTTTTCTTTTCGTTTCTTTTCACTTTATCACAAAGTTTTCATCGGTATCAATAGCGTGGGAACCGAAATCAATGGCTGATCGAACAGAGAAACACGGATTTGCTAAACAAGCGTTCGATAAGGTTAGTTATGTAAGATTTACAACTTATCGATAAACTATTCGAAGAGAAAAACGATAAATTTCTTCGAGGATCATTAATCATCGACAATGTTATATTCAAAGATAAACTTCTAGTCGTGCCTAAATACCAATCATATAAATGAACCCTGGGGCAGTCTTCTTTCTATGAGACATGTTGTTGTGTTCAGAAAAATAGAAATATTTATCTATATTAAATCTAAAACCTCTGACATTTACAACGATGAGTGTAAGTACAAGTGTACCGAAATCAGGATTGACTAGAGATATGAAACAAAAAGTAGAAGGAAAGGATTTGAAAAGAATCGACTGATTAAGCATGAGTTTTTCATCGACAGATTCAATCGAAATATGATGTCGGACAAGCACAAGAGGCTCTGCAATGGATTAGTCAAATGATTGGCGAAGAATTTGATACAAATGGGGAAATGGATAATGTTTATAATCAACTACGCGATGGACGGAAACTTTGCCAGTAGGGTTTGAGGGTTTAGAAAGAATACTTTCATATCTGTCTGCTTAGATTAATGAATAAAATCGTACCGAATTCGATTCCGAAAGTTAATAGTGGTGAGTTTATTGATGCGAAAAGATTTTATTTGGATTGAACATGTTTGTAGGTGAAAATAATTTTAAATTAATGGAAAACATCTCGCGCTTTACTCAAGCTGCCCGCTCGTATGGATTGTCGGACTCGGAGACCTTTCAAACAGTTGATCTTTACGAAAAAATGAATCTGCACCAAGTTGTTCTGTGTATTTTCGCGCTTGGTCGTAAAGTAATTCAATATTTTCCTATATAGTTCCTTTCAACTAAAATATGCATTTTAAGGTACAAAAACAAGGTATGCAAGGTTTAGGTCCAAAGGAGAGCGACAAGAACCAGCGGACATTCTCCCCGGAAACCATTATACAAGGAAATACTGTCGTCAGTACTCAGTATGGTTATAACAAAGGCGCAACACAGTCCGGTATTAGTTTCGGTAATACACGCCATATGTAATTAGTACATTTTATTGCATTCTGCCTTTTCGCTTGATTGAATTGATTCATTCGATGTAGTTCCTATTTAACTTTCTCTCTATCTCAAAGTACGCTGATATATTTATTACAAAGAAAACGACACAAACTTCACACTCGATCAATAAATTCCTCCTTAAAAATCAAATCAAAAACCGAGCTTACTTGAGCAAATCAGTCTTCTGTTATGAGGAGATGGATGACATATATCTAAATGGTTATTATAAAGACAAATGAGTAGGCAAAACATGTAACCGGTTTCTTTTCTTTTCTTTTCTACATACAACAAGATTTTACCTCACTATGGGAGAAGAACAGACGTCCAACGATGCATATAGTCTTGACATGATGTAAGAAAAATCTACACCAATCGAGTACACCGTCATGTCGGTGACGATGAGAAGTCTATAAATGTCGAGAACGAGACTGAGAAATTCGAATGATGCTCGAAAACTTTCAAACGAAGAAATTTACATAAAATAATGAAATTGAATTTTCGATTTTTTATTATGCTATGAAAAGTAGTCCGAAAAGTTCAATTCAATAAGTTTTGAGTTTTTCGACCGATATTTGCACTAAGCCACGCGCCGACTTCACTGCTTGATTAAATCATCGCGCTGTCCAGCTATCAACACTACGCAGGAATATTTGAATGATATAAGAAAATTAATGGTTAGTAAAGATAACATCAACTACAAGCATCATCATACCGGCGAAGAGGACTCAGGCAGAAGATTACAGCTAATTTCATCTTAATTCGTATCAAAACATCCATATCGCAATTAGATTTAAAGTGAAAAAGG